AAATAGTTTAAGTTCAAACTGTCTAACAGGAGGGGCAGATGAAAGACTTGGACATACCGATTAATTTTGTCCAAAGGTTTAACTTCTGCCATCTAAGAGTACAGTAATGCATGTCAATGTTACGAGTTCCTTGGGATAACTGCATAGTTCCCTAAATGGTAGTGCTATCTAACTTTTTATTGATTTTTAACTGAAACATTACATACTAATATGTTTATTTTCTGTCTGTGATAAGAAATCTTTATTTTCAAACCAAAAGCAACATTAAAGTAGATGTGCAGATGAAATTGCTGGTGACAAAATAAACGAAGTGGCCACTTTTATGCTGGAAAATTTGTGAAATCTGAATAACATTTTGGTAAATATAGGATAAAGACCAGTGACTAAGCCTTGTGATGGCTTTATCACAAACCTTGAGAAATGGTTTGTGGGCTTAACTGATTTTTTTTTTTTTTAGCTCATTACCCCCTGAACTTTTTTAAATGTAAAAAAAAAAAAATGAATACTGAAATACGTTAGCATGAACACAGAAGGGCTACTTTCTTAGGCTCCAAGTTAATCTTCCTATTAGGGACAAATAGGAGGTAATGAAGAGCAGCATTGACAGGAGGAAGCTGTCAGAACAATATCAGTTTGGAGAATTAAAGTAAAACACAAACAAAGGGGAGTGAAGCCAATTAAGCACGATAGTCCTGCTGTGCTGCATTTTTTTTCCTTCTGTGCAGCACACAGGTCCATTTACCAGTTTCAGTTTGTCTCCAGACTTATATGTTATGGTTATGTAAGCATGCAGCAGTGTGTGTGTGTGTGTGTGTGTGTGTGTAAACAGATAAAAGAAATAGAGAAAGGACACAGAATCATGTCTCTACAACAACCTTTTCAGATCTGGTGTCAACATGCAACCTGGCTGAATGGAGTGTCAGTAGACCAAACCAACGAAATAAAAATTCACACCTGGCATTAAATCCCATTTTGAGCAATTTGGTAAATGTGCCACCATGTCAAAGTTGGCTATCAGCTGAACAACCTTTGAGACGTCAACGCAGCTGAAAAGCATCAGAGTTCAACTGCAAGCTGTTTTATCGTCTGATTTTAAAAGATGTGACATACAAGAGGAAATGGATGAAAAATATGGAAATCTTTAAAGCTTATTATTAGTTTACAGATTGTTTATAAAACAGCTGAAAATTCACTTTACACAATTTATTTATTATTTTACTTGGAAGTAGGCATTGAAGATTTGGGATTCTGTAGCAACTATTTGAGAATAATCAGCAGCTTACAAATACTGCTTAAACTGATCCCATTCATCTTTACAGAATCCCAATACCAGTAAATTAATAAAATAACTGTAAACTACTTATTTTTTTTTTTAACTGAGAATTCTTCCAACTAGGAAAACTTTTATCTGAACAATAATTTCTACTTTAGGTTAGGCAATAGAAACAATTTGAATCTCTTTCAGAGTACAGCAAAGATAACTTGCTGGTTGAGGGAAATCATGTCATATTAGTCACTCAGTTTGTTTCAGGATAAATTTCATGCAAACAGCCACAATAATCCAAATGTGTCCCAAGCCGAATCTGAAGGCAGTGAGAGGAAAATTATTGCCCTCTTTCCATCCCAAATGCTTTTGCACCTGTAGTTGGAGCTTAACATGATTTGACTTACTATACATACTAATGCCAACTGTGAATGGGTGTGAGTTTGTTATAAAGCACAGACGATGTAAAATTAGTCCTGTTAAAATTCCAGCTAAAAGAGATTACAAGCTGATCACATTCTGCAGACTTTGTCTGGCGCTATGTGGCACGGAATGTAACATTTTCCTCTTGAACCCTCAAAAATAACACATTTTTTAAATGTACTATATTCTAACTGTGTTTCCATCACTCTTGCTGGTGAATCTAAAAGGGCTAACTGGGTTGATTGCCAAGCTCATGTAGAGTTCAAACTCCATCTACCTGGTGTTTCACTTTGCTCACCAGCTGCTAGCCGATGCATATCAATGCTCTGCTTGAATACAGCTGATTAAATGATTGTGTCATCAGGGGGCTCCACTAACACTTGGAAACAGGCTGAGAGGAGATGATCAACCTTTTGAATCTGTGGAGAAACTAAATCTTGCAAGACACCGGTCCAAAAAAAATGAGCAGCTGCCTTCAAGACGTTGCCAGTCAATTTTGACTGAAAGCATTATTAGTTATTTCTAAACATCACAAAATTCAATTGATTATTTCCGTTTCTTTGGTATGTTTCCCCATTTACATCAGTGGTTTTACTGACTTTATACAGCCATTTCTTTTCCGTTTGACTGTTTTCTTTACATATCTGTAGACCACTCTTTTGCTTTAGTCCCAATTTTTCGGTGATGACTCATGAGCCAGGATATAATTGCCATTATTTACTCAATCTAATGAGGTTCATGTTGTTGAACATGTGCTATGAGGGTGTGACTTGTCGTTCTCGCTGCAAGGATGTCAAAACAACAACCTTGTAAATTCCTTGTTAGTCATTCCTTATTAGATTACCCTGGTAGATGCGAGGAGTTTCTTTTCAGCTGAGAGCAAGCACTAGGTTTTAATATTTTATTAATCACTGATGATATACATTTGCAAAAAGTTTATACAGACAAAAACCACTGACAAAAGAAACAGAACCAACTCCTTGAGCAACTGAATAATATGTAAATTGAGTTTGTGTTGTCTTTTTAATGTCTTAGTCTCCAAACCCATAAACACAGACCGTTTCTGACAGAGGGTAATCTCCATTTCCTTGCCAGTACATAAAGACAAAGTCTTAAAACTGTTTCAGAAACCCTATAAGCCTGTGCATCTGCTGAATGTGCTGAACAAATTTAGCACTTATAGCTGTCCACCTTTCCCCAAGCTTCTCATGGCATGTTCGCCCATTTACATCAGCGGTTTAATTGACTTTATACTGCCTATCCCCCACCCCAGATGACTGAAAAAGAAAAGCCAGCATCCCCCAAAATATATATATTTTTAAATCATTCTAAACATTGTAATAAACAAACCAGCAGGCAATGTTCTGATTTTAGGCTGTAACCATTGAGGAGACTTTTTGAAAGCCAAATTGTCACAGATTTGAGAAACTCTCCTCTTGACTGCAATTTATAACTGGGTGATGTGAAATAGAATTACAAAGAACTACACCCGCTGACTCCTCTTAACTCTCTAACACTAATCAACTCTATTTAAAAAATAAACTCTTTAAGTGTTCAACAATCAAAAAATTAACAATCTCTGCTTATGATTAAATATTTGGAGCATTCGGTTTCTTAGATATTTACAAGTGCTTAGCAAATAGTTAAAAAAATCACAACAAATTAGTTCAAGACTTCATAAAAATGCAAAAACACACTGTCCCCAGCGTGTGTATGAAAACAAACACACGCCCTAAAAACAAATACAATTAAATAAAAACTTTCCAAAGACTGTTTTAATCATAATTACTGATAGAAAAGCAGCAACATTTGTACCGTATACAATGTCTTGTTGACTCTGAACTAATAATTTCTTACATTATAAGGATGAGTCCTCAGCTAATACAAACACACTATTAGTTTCCTTTTCAGGCAAGTGAAGAAAACTATAGCAGTCAAGGTATAACGTTTTAAATTCAACAGTAAGGTATGATGAGTGTGTTTCATATTTTCCAGTATGAAAAGTTGTGCTATACTTGCCTGGCTGCTGGATTCTCGTTGCTGGTTTAGTGCTGACTGCTGAAAACACAGATGGTGGTCTGTCTCCGTCTCTGGGCCGCTCCTTATCAGTGGGTCACATGAAGTTGTTATTTGCTCGTCACATGTTTAAACTTCATGGCCATTTCCCATTTAGTACCGTCTCTGACTCCCTTCACTAACTCGATCAGGCCTCATTATGGAGCCAAATAAAACTATATAAATGTATAAGAGAACAACAGTGTTTATTCAGTTAATATTTGTAGAGGAGCTGGAAAGCTAAAAGTTGACATAGGAATTGTGCAGAAGAAAAGTGATTGCACTGTTCAAAACTATCACAACTCTGTTTTTTTTTTTTTTCTTTCCACTTTTGGCCTGTTGCCACTTTTAAGGCCATTTTTTTCAATCATTTAACAAGCCTCAGCTGTGGCCTCTTAACTCACGCTAGTAAGTATACAGATCCTCATATGAATATAGCTATAGAGTCAAGTCTCAAAAAAACAAACAAAAAAAAACACAAACATGTTAACTGTGGCCTGGAGAAAACATTAAAATACCAAAGTCGATGCAGAACTAAAATTATCATCATCAAATAAATTATTATATTACATGTATCTGTGATGCAATTAGAACACTTTGAACTTTTTATTATTTAATTGTGCAATTTTACAGAATTTGCAGGTATTTTAAAAGTACTTAAACTACTGGAATTAGTCGTTTTTTTGACAGTCTTTAGATTTTTTTCTAGATTTATATCTGTAGTCAATCCCCTATAATGAACCACCATCAGTCACACTTATTAAATAAGGTGCTGATAATCTCATAAATCTGAATGCACTAATTAATTGACTGTATTCCAATTAGCACTTTGAAAAAATGCTGTAAGAATTACTTTTATTTTTAATGAACTATAAGATTGAACTCCATTATCAAAACAATGGTCTAAGTTTTCCCCCATGAAATCATAACAATTATGAGGCCATGCTCTCAGTTAGAGGACACTGTATATTCAATAATTTAAACCCCTGTGTATTTGAAGGGAAAGGAAAATCAAAAATATTAAGTAAAACCACACAAATATGAACACAAAAACATTTTTTAAAATTTTTATTTAAAATATAATGATAGGCATACTTGAACAAAAAAAAATTTAAGAGAGAAAAAAATATATTTTGATGATGACATTGAAGCACATTAAGTTCAAAGCAAGCTAAAATACCTACTGTTGGCAGATGGTGTCTTATTTGGACATTCAATTTGCACATAATTCAAAAACATAAAGATGAACACCACATTCACCATAATAATTTATTTTTCTTCATGACACCTGTTATATTACAGATTATCTTTTACCTTCAGTATCTTTTGCACATCATTAGAAATGTTTCTGCAGTTTAAAAAAACCCAAAAAACTAATGTGCATTGCAAAAAACACCAAATTAATTTTTCATTTTAGTTTTTGTGTTTGATATTTCTCTGTATACTACAAAAAGGTTTCAACTTTATGTACAAATCATGTGACATGGCTTTATAATACTTTGAAGGAACTAAACACATGAAAGTAAAATAATAGTTATACCATGAATGTGTATGGATAATCTATTTGGAGTTACTCAACATTTGGAAATATATTCCTCTTTCGTCACAATTTAGAGCCTATTATGTAAATGTTAAAATTACACTGTAGCAATCAGATATCCCTCCAGAGGGCGCAATTGCTGCTTTCATGACTAGATGTTTCAAAGTGAGAAACCAAGCCAGAGCAAATAAAAAAGTACATCTTTGTGCGCATTTAGTCTCAGTATACTAGGTCAGAAATGTACACAGAACCTTTTCATCGTTATACAGTCATTGCTTTTGACAGGAAACTGCAAGCACAGAAAACACAACCAAAGTACCCATTGTGTTCACCATAGAAAAACACAACAATCACATTGAACACAACAGCATTTCACTGTGGTGCCACAATATATTCACAACTCACTTCATCAAATGTATCATTTTTAAACTGGCTCAAAATCTCTGGAATACCTAGAAAACCAAAGATGAAAATCACAAAAGGAAAAAAAAAAAAAAAGAAAAGAAAAAAAGCAGTTCTCTGACGAGTGAGAGTAAGGACACATTTTAAGAACTTTTATATTTCATGATACACAAGAAAGCTATATCGATGTAGAAATATAATCCACAGAAGTTCTGCTAAAAAACACATGCCATTTAAGAAGAAGTCACTGCAAACTAGTAAAATGTAGAAGCCAGTGAACACAAGTCTCCTTTTTACCGTGGCTTTCAGGAACATATTATAGACATACAGTTTTGTTTGAAATGTAAAACCAGTCTACACATTACAGTTCTAGCTACCCACAGAGGGAAGTTGTAAGAAATGTAAATCCCTTACATGGACATGCCTACGTTTTGTCAATTGCACTTCCATATTTGTCCTGCAATGCCTTTTAAAAGCCCTTTGTGATCATTTCCTCGTCATCTTCTGCCAGAAGCACTAGAGTGAAATGGTAAAGAATTCTTTCATAAGAAAGACAAAACTTTCATCTGTGGACCTCGCCTCAGGCAAAACTGCCCACTGGTACCCGTTTGCCAAAGTACATTGATGCTCCAACATAAACACACATCACAAGACCACCATGTAGTGTTGCTGTATTTTACATAACAGCAGACAAGGACAGTGCGGACTTTTAGGCCAAGAAACCTGTATTTCCATTGTCCTGTGTTGAATGTTGAAACTGTCAACAACCGACTCATTACTCAGTTATTTTACGTAGACTCCCTGGGAATGCCCCTGTGGAAGACCACCGACTGCCTCTGTTGAAACTGCAGCTTCCGTCTTTTCTTCTGATCCCAGCGGCACAGCAGTATCATCTTAAAGGTTGTCCGGAAAGTCTTATTGCAAAGCGCGTAGCACATGGGGTTGACCGTGCTGTTTACATAGCACAGCCAGTAGCCCACCGCCCACAGGGTCTGTGGGATGCAAACTTTACAAAAGGTTGTGATTAACACCATGATGTTGTACGGTGTCCAGGTGATGATGAAAGCTAAGAGGATAGCGCTGAGTGTTTGAGCTGCTTTCTTCTCCTTCACTAAAGACATCCGTTTCCTCTTTGTGATCTGAGTCCGGGTTCGTGTGGCAAAGCGCTTTGCCATAGCAGCTTCTTTAAAAGAAAGGGGGACAGAGGAGGACTTGGTGGCCGTGCAGGTGGTAGAGCCATCAGTGGCAGCCGTTGATGGGGTATCATCCAGAAACCCTTGGTGAGACTTGGCCTGAATGGTGGACATTGACCGTGTCTTGCGTGAGCTGAAGCGTTGGTGGTAGCTATTTTCTGTATTGTTTGTTCCCTCAGGTGTAATGGGAGCAGTTGTGGTAGTGGTGACTGTTGATAAACTGTCTCCCCTCAGTGGATCCTCTTCTGAGGCCACATCCAGATCCTCGCAAGAGGTAAGCTGAGAGTTGACTGCAGCCTTAATGCCAGGTAGGCTGAGGACAATCGAAAAAATAGCATGACTTTGAGAAATCATCTCTCTTCCTCCACAGTCCTCATCCTCCGAGGACCCGGAATGGTCCAAAGAGGCCGCTGCATCATTATTGTTCCAGCTGTCACTGCTGCTCTGGTCCGGATCACCATCCCCATGCCTGATACTTCCAGGTCTCCAAGAACGAACACCTGGCCAGCAGCGGAATCGCCCCACCAGCTCCTGACATGTGCTCTTTTTCTTAGGCATCCTGTTCAACTCATAGCTACCACAGCTCCTAGAACTTCCAGTTTGATGTACAAAGCGAGCTCTCTCACCTCGTTTATTATTTCCTGCTCTTCCCCCTGGCCCTCCACGACCTTCTGAACCTTGCAGTCCAGCCAACTCTTTTGAACGGTTTTGGGTTTCCTTATAGATGCGCCAGTATAAAATGCTCATTATTGTCACAGGTAGATAGAAAGCCGCCATTGCTGTGCAGAAGGTTGTAATTGGCTCTGTGAGGAACTGGATATAGCATTGGTTTTGGGGTACCGTCCTTTGACCTACAAAATACTGCCACAGCAGTATGGCTGGGGCCCACAGGACAAGAGAAACAAGCCAGGCTAGGCCAATCATGACGCCAGCTCTCTTTGTGGTCCGTTTGGCCCGGTAGGTCAAAGGTCTGGTTATAGAAAAGTAGCGATCAAAGCTAATGACCAGAAGGTTCATAACTGATGCGTTGCTTGCAACATAGTCAATAGTCAGCCAAAGGTCACAGGCCCATGTGCCTAGGGCCCAGTAGTCCATTATAAGGTAAGCTGTGTAGAGATTCATGGAGATTACTCCTATTATGAGGTCAGCTACAGCCAAACTCAGTAGAAAATAGTTGTTGACTGTCTTCAGCTGGCGATTGACCTTGAAGGAGACCACTACCAGAATGTTGCCAACAATGGTGACCAGTGACAGCGAGCCTGTCAGTAAAACAATGAGGACAACTTGCCACACAGGATGACCACCAAGAGGATCACGGGGTGTTTCATTCTCAGGTTGAGGAGTGAAATTAAGGTTCTTGTGATGCGCACTGGATTGAGAGTAGGCTCCGGCTGTTCGCGGCGATGTGTTGGCAGTCAAGAGGAGACCAGGGTCCGTGATGTTGGAGCTCATTGTTATGTTCTTGCATATTCTGAAGAAAGAGAGAGAAACAAGGACATAAGGGGAAGGAGTGGAAGGGAATAAGATGTGGGATATAGGAATTAAAGGAGAAAAGGATGGAGGGAAAAAGAAAGATAAAAAGGAGAAAAATACATGAGTACAGCTGACATTGCTATTAATGTCCAGCAGGTGAGGCTGTAGGACTACATTACAAATTGCATGTTGGCCAAAGATGTTTGTCTAACTCAATCAAGATTTCACAAGAGTAAATTAAACAGGAAGTACCTTCATTGCTTGTTTTTCATGATATGTAGTACATTGCACAATAACTTTCCCTATACACAGGTTTTATGTTTTTACACATTTGCCTACAGTCTGCAAAAATCTCAGCATTGATACTGTAACTTATTTAACACTGGGTGTATGGACACCATAGACATCTTTTTAACTCACTGACAGATGAATCACTCCGACGTTTTTCTACAGAGCAAAAACTGTTTTCTCGTTAAAATACCACGGCAACAATTTTCCAAGAAAACTATACCATCAGATGATATGAAGCATTTTTTTAACACTAACAAAATGGGACTAGTTATAACTTTAAAAATACTTCAAGGCAAAACCCAATTGTAATGTCGGTGCACTATACTAGGCAAAATTACAAAACCTGGCTAAGTGAGAGATGCAGATAAACCTGAAAAAGAAAACACTTCATACATGTTAAGGATAAATGTTTTTTTTATTATTAAATACAATTTCATTGCACAAATGACAAAATAAGCAGAAGACATAGATGTTATTTGTCAAACCAGGTCTTGACAAATGGAAAATATGATGGGAAACGACTTGTTTGACCTGAATGTATTGCTTACTTTGACCTCCGCACTCAAATAATTTAATACCACTGCTGTAAGACCAACCAGATGCAGAGGTTGAACAGAGGAGTCTGAAAAGGCTTGAAGTACTCTAATTATTGGCGTGCACTGATTAAACACACCGTAATGGCTCCCTGCCCTTTACTGAGTGGTTCCTCCTTCACCACAGAAACAGCACAGGGGCCTCATAAAAAGGCTTGTTGATGTCAGAGGCTGTTTGTTACCAGCAACACAAGTTGATTTAACCCTCTTATTTGTTAGATATGATCTCTGTGGTTTACACAACTTGACCACAGATTAATTTGAAAGGGAAAGACAGTTACGTTAAAATGAATGTGAAAGCATGTAGTGCCCATTTAATGGCACAGCTTGTAAAGATGGTTAAAGAGTTTTTGATTAGAAGCAATTCATAATAAATGAATCACTCCTCGCCATCATCGAGTCTCTCTGTGAACTTGTATTTGTTCATCCGACCTTTCATCTGAATAAATGTATTCAATGAAAAGGAAAAAAAAAAACTTCACAAGAACCTTCATGGCAACTCAGCTTATTTTAGTTTCTTCATATAGGGCAAGATATAATGTCATCTAAAGATAAGAGATCCAGATTGTATCCATCCATCGTCATCCTATCCATGCATAATTGTTAGTTGGGCTAGAGAAAGGAATATTCGACAGATTGCCAACCCATTACAGGTCAACATAGAGAGGTTTACCAACCGTCACGTTTAGAGAACATGGAAACTTTAAGCATAAAGAGGCCAGTATTAGAACCGAGGACCTTCTCTATCTGCAAGAAGATAGAAGGTCCAACATCACTAAATAGCCACAGATACTATCTGTATGTTTTTCTTCTTCATAAAATCAGGACAATAGAATCACAAAACAGATCTGATTTGGATTTTAAACATTCCAGTAAAAACACAATGTATTCAGTTTATCATACCAGTTGGGAAGAGAAGATGATTGCATCAAGCAAAAGAACAAAACCAGCAGACAGGGAGTACTTTCTGTGTTAAGTACAACTGAGTTAGTGGCCCTGTTAGCTTCATACACAGTTGCACTATAAGCTTCTCTGATGGATTTGTCACAGAATGACAGGGATTCTGGCACCCAGCCTACATCTAAATTTAAGAAATTAAATGCATATGGTGGTGTGCTCAGCATTGCAGTGAAGGTTTCAAAAGTCATATCTTATACATATTTTAAAAAAAGAAATTACTACAATCCCCATAGGTTGTACTAAATTTGAAATACGTATATAATCGTGTATTTCAAGTATGCTTTTAAAATACCGATTCACCAATTATCAACTAAGAACACGGTCTCAAACTGAGAAGAAGCAAAACCCCCTGAATCTTCCTGTGGCCCATCCACAGTGCCATCAACACCATCATAGATTGATTTCCGACTCCAGCAGCCCCATGCTGATTAAAATGAAAATGGCTCTCGCAGAGTATAGTATCTCACAGACAAGCATTTGAAGGTAAGAGCAACACCTGCGCCTAGACCCTCGGACCTCCCGCAGAGCTGTTAAATAACCCCAGCAGCCAGCAGCGTCTTAGAACCGTTTGGGACACTGAACACAAACTGCTACAATTATCAAGGGACACCCCTGCTGTCCATGTTGGAGACACATCATGATTCATGCTCAAATGCAGACAGAATGCTCCATCATTTCACATATACCATTTGCTTTGCTGTGCACAAGCATGCTCAGAGGCATACTGTACATTGTGTGCAGGATATCTACACAGAAACACATACTGCATGCATGCACTGAAGCGCAAGGCTAAATAGAAGTGTTGTAACCAAAAGAGAGAAAAAATATATATACAGAACCGCAAAAAAGAAAACAATGTAGATGAAAGAGTGGGACATTTATGATAGATGAGCTTATAAGCCTCTTAAGAGAACAAAGCCTACTTTAAACTTCTACAAAGTACATTTTATGGAGGATATGATAAAGCAACATGCTTTTAATGAATTCTGAGCATCTCCCAAATGGTTTAGAGGGGCAAAATGTGTTTGGGTGAAGATAAGAGCTTAGAAGGTACTGAAACACATTTTCTGTTTTCAACTTGGCATGTTAAAAAGAGAGTAGAGAAATTACAAATACAAGAAAAAAATACTTTAACAGCATACATTTTTTTTATTGAACATTGTCTGTGACATATTATTTTCATCTGCCCATTTGATGTAAAAATATCCATATACAGCAGGGGGCGAGCTCTTTATTTTGTCATTTAAATAATTGTAAGACAGTGTCTACTGAATCCAGAAATATTCAGATCCAACAAAGGTCAAATAACTTGATTATACTGACACAGAAAGAAGGAAATATTGCTTTTGCTCATATTTACTTTCTTTGTATTACTTTTTATGTTCTAACATAAAATGAAATAAAAGTGGTAAAATAGTGAATAACAAAATGTCACATCTCCGCAGCTCAGGAAACAAAACAAAGCAGACTGCTCTAAAGAAATGAAAAATAGGGATGCATTTTCAGGAAAAACAGGAAAAACAGGAAAAACGTGCCGGTTGATCAACATTCCCATCATGTGGGCGACCAGCTGCAGCTGCTGTAACATCACGGTGAAGCCTTTTACTCCTGTGCCAAGCATTGTAAAGAAAGTTTAACTCTCAGGCACATATAGGTGTAGCAGGCTCAGTTACAAGGAGATCAATACTTATCTACTCTGCTGCAACCCAAAAGCATTCTCTCTTGTAAAGGCACGGTGTTCCACCATGGTGGTCTGAACAGTCCAAGTCGACTCCAAAAATCTGTCTAAATCGGGTGACTGGGGCAGGTGGTGGCAACTCAGGGGATTTGCATTCTATCAAGTTTCTTTTTTGAGCAATCGAATTTAGCAGCGTAGTGATATAGACATTTGAGACGCCATATGAACACGCTGGTCACCATTTTCTCATTTCTGTGATGTGTCGTTTCGGGTAGAGCTGTATACAAAAGTCAAGTTCGATTTATTTGTATAGCATATTTCAGCAACAAGGCAGTTCAAAGTGCTTTAAAAACATAACAGTAACCAACTACAGCGGGAACAGGAAATAAACATTTCATTTCGTCAAATACCATCAGCAAAATTAATCTGTTTTTCAGCTATTTTTAGTCAAAGGCAACTGTAAGCAAATTAGTAAATAGCCTTGATTTAAATGAACTCAGTGTTTCTGCAGTTTCCTGGAAGTTTCCAGATTTGTGGTGCATAAACAATGAATGCTGCTTCTTCACATTTGGTTCTGATTCTGTGGATGCAGAGTAGATCTGAGTGGTCTGCAAGGTTGAAACAACAACAACAACAACAACAACAGATCTGATTCTGCTGATGATTGTGAGAGTGATGAAGGGTTAGTGATCAACATGATTTTTTGCAAAATTTCAGGCATTTTCTACCATGAGGTTTGGACAGTCACTCTGCAAAGAAAAATATACTAAGCCAACTCAAATTAGTCACCCATGAAAGTCTGATGTGGATTTTTTTTTAATGAACGATAACTTAAGAATGAAAAGAAATAGCTTCATTTGGTCTTGATTCTTATATACAGATTGAAATTCATTTGCATACAATTCAGTTTGAATCTTATTATAACACAATGTCAAATTTAGCTCATGATACCCACTGGTTTATTGAAAAAATTAAGTACTAGAATGTCATGATCAGCTAGATTTCTCTGGATCTAAGCAATATTTATATGGAAAGTGACAAGCTGTTAAGGCTATTGTGATAATTTCATCTTCAATGGCAAATAATGATGAAGTTTTGCCAAAATTTCAGACAGACCATGAGGGAAACATAACTGTAAACCTTTAAGCGTGCAGGTTCTCTCTCTCGAACAGCTGAATAACTTTTTTGAGCTTACTGTACATGACTGAGAAAATGTGCAACATCATTTTGTACGTTGCATTTCAGCACAGCATTAGACTACACAGTCAGTTTTAATTTTGTGCGCTGCACAAATTTTGGAAACCCTAGAAGCAAGACCACTAAAGGCAAACAAGGAGGACTGGTTTGTAAATGATAACTATTTTCTGTTGCCAGATCCAAAAGCACACAGTTGCATAAATCACAAGTTCAAGTTGAACTTGTGATTTATGCAACAAAGTCTATGCGAGCCTTTAATACATGAGGCCCAGAGATTTAGGGAGAGTAAAAGCAGTGACACTGTCGATGCCAGTACTGATTAATTCCTTAATTGCCTATTAATGTTTTTTTTAAGTAAAGCCTCTGGCTGTCTTTCAGAATTTGATGCTGTGGTGTTGCTCATTAACAGACAGGCCCTTCACAGTTCACACTGGGCAAACGGTGAATGAAACATGATCAGGCAACAAGTGCCACACAGCTGCAGAGATATTGATTTTGTCTACACTGTATGAAGATAAAGGCTTGCTGGAAAGCACAAACTATAGTACTCTGAGTCTGCCATGTTATCTTACAGTAGATCAATTAATGACATGATGTACAACTGCAGATGATAAATCGTACATTAGGATTTAGATTGCCCTAAAATTATACCCGTAGGAATGAAGCAGCTGCTGGGTGTATGCTAAATTCTGACTTCTATTCTTTTCCATAACACAGATAGTGAACAAATCAGGACAATGTAATCTGTACAATACATATATTTCTCTAAACAAAATAAACACAGACAGCAAAATCTTGTACTGCAGCAGCAGGCTCATAGATCAACTGATGCTGAACTTCACTGCAGTTTTTTTCCCCCCCGCTGATGTAAGATTGTACACTTCAACAGCTTAGCTGTACTTTTTTGAGAAAGAAGGAAATGTGCAATAACTCAAATAAATTTCCTTAATCCCAGTTTAGATGTGTACTGTTATGTTGCTAGTTAGTAATTCAGTACTTGACTTTTCATTACCGTTTTATTTGCACAGCATGACACTGTATTCACTTGCACTTTATAGTTTTCTGTGAGGCGCTCCAACAAGTTAGTTTCTTATGAACAGTTGAACACATTAAAGAAAATGTAATTATGTAACGTAATTATGCAAACACTGTGCTACGCCCTGCTCTTTTAGTATACATTTATTATTACAAAGCTACAGAAAATGAGCACATTTTAATTAGCTTCTACAATTTTCACAATGTTTTCCCAATGCAGTTACCATTAAATGCTTAGAAACTGCTTGCCTTTTCCCCTAGCATTGTTGCCTTATTAAAAATAATTTTTGATTTAAAAGGCCATTTGTGACAAAACCACTGTGGTAAATTACACCTTGCTACATATAGTGAGATATGCAGAGATGCCAGAGGTATGAGAATATTTGTACTGTGATTAATGAGTGCAAATTTATTATAATTATAGCTTCAGCATCTCTCTGAAGACCACAGTATGAAGTGGCTGCTGGAGAGACAAGACTGTTTGTGTTGTTTCCTTTTTCACTGAGTGACAACAAAAACATCTAGAAGACTTTTCCCTGCCAATTAATTGTATTTTGGTAGCTGAAATCTGCTGCTATCCTTCTGCTTTTTTTTTCTACTTATTTTATTTTGAACATGATAGCAGTATAAACTGACATACATGAAAAAGAAATGCAAAAGACATATTTTTTGCACCACAATACTCTTAACATGCTCAAAAAGGGGTAGAAAGAAGTAAGAAACTTATGAGCTCCTACTCCATAAATTCATATCATGTTTTCAGATGGACCCTCATTATTAAATCAAATAAAAATAAAAAATGAACATAGGTTAATTTTCCATATGTCTAAATATCCATACATCCTTACCCACTCATATGCGTTAGCCTCAATTTACACATTACTGCTATCTTTCAGCCATATTTCTATAAGCCGTATTTCCCAGACTATAAGGCGCACTCTCAATTATGTTCGTATTTAATCCATACATAAGGCGCACCGGATTATAAAACACATGCTAAAACATACGGTCAACAACAACAAAAAAGGTAACGGAAACAAAACAGTAAGTTTAGTTGAACTTTATTCGACTATGTAACAATACACTCACGTTATTTTTTTATTCTTCTTCCACAAATCCATCAAAGTCCTCTTCTTCTGTATCTGAATTGAACAGCTGGGAAATTTCGCCATCAAACAAGCCAGGTTCCCTCTCATCATTGTCGGAGTCAGTCTCGTTGCCAGGTGGCTGTTCAGCAATGACGCCGGATTTGCGAAAGCTCGGACAACAGCTAAGGCAGATGCATTAGCCCAGGCATCCAGAATCCATTCACACATGGTGGCGTAACTCGCCCGGCGCTGCCTCCCCGTCTCAGTAAACGTCTGAGACGGGTCTGTCATCCATCGCTCCCACGCCGCTCGCAACTTCCTTTTGAACACCCCGTTTACACCAATGTCCAGCGGTTGAAGTTCTTTGGTTAATCCTCCCGGAATGACGGCAAACTCCGAATTAGTTTCACTTCCTTTTTCACAGTAGCAGTGAGATGGGCGCACATGGAGTCGCAGATGAACAGGCACGGTGAGGAGTGGAAAAACCTGTCTGGTTTTTACACGCATCACCGTGTCAAAACCTGTCTGGTTTTTACCGGAGGCCTATGCTGCAGAACTCTGACAACAATTTTCTGATTGGTTCATTGCTGCTGGCGTACGTACTTTACGTATTATGTAATGTCCTCTGATTGGTTTATCGCTGCCAGCGTGCGTACTGTACACTTTACCTCTCTGTGTCAGGGACAGATTTTGGAATCTGTCCCTGACGGTGCACATATAAGGCGCACCGGATTATAAGGCGCATTGCTAATTTTTGAGAAAATGTAAGGCTTTTAGGTGTGCCTTATAGTCTGGAAAATACGGTGTTGTGAAAATTACATCCTTACATTTCCTTTTAATTGTATTAAATTTTGACTTTGCTTAAGCTCCTCATTTAACTTCTTCCATAATTTTACACAATGAATTGACGTAGAAAACTCTTTTTTGCTGTGTGTATACTAAGAATGATGTTTTATGATATATTGCACTAGTTAAATATTAATGTCAAATATGTAAACTAAATATTAATACTAAATATAAATTTGGTAGTCATTATAACTGGTAATTAGGGTGTCACTGAAGTGAAAACCACATCCAGAAATTACTAAACAAAACTACACATCTAAAAGAACCACAACATTAACTAAGCAAATTAAGAAAACAAAACAATATTAAGATTACTTGTGCTTAGTTAATCTTGTATTTTCTAATTTGTAGTTGTGTTTAGTGTGGTTTGCACTGCAGGGTCACCATAAGTAATAGTTTATGTCTTACAACTTACAACGTTAGCTGATGAAGCTCAGCTAAAGGCCAAGGTGACAATTAAAACTGATGTCTGAAAAAACAGTAGAAAATTGCAATGGATAAAACGAGCCTTACAGAAAATCCTCTTTTTCATTTGTGTAGATTTTTGGAAAAGGTCTAACAAATGTATCATTTAGTAATTAGAATGCAATCAGTAGCCCCCACCACTTTGAAACAAACCAGAAAGCAGCTAAATTGCATTTATATATATAAAAAAATACTGCCTGATGCTACAATTTGCCTCAGAAAGGTGTGCATATTCACCCATTTACTTTGTAAATAGAGTAAATCTTACCACCACAAATGTACATAAAGCATTTTGTGAAAAGTCCATAGACTAAAAAACTCTCCAAACGATTCAGTCTAGTATTACCTCAGTCACATAAACACATTATGAGAGTCTCTATAAACGTTGAAGCCATTAAAAGTGAGCTGATGTTGTGATTATTAGCAGAAACACTGCCAAAGCATATAAGGGCTATTAAGAGCCGCAAAAGATTCATAATTACATTAAATGTGTTTACCATAGAGATACAAGTATGAACCACATGCACATACACACAGACAATTTGCGAAAAGCAAAGCAATCAGATGTACAGATGTTGCCGCAGCTGGAATAAAACAGTAAAAGATGATTTACAAAAAACTAAATTGAAAGCAGAATATTAGAGATCCTTCACTGTTGTTAATAACACATTAATTTTCGGTAACACTTTATTTGAAGACTGTAGTCTTACTTTCAAAAGTCGTCAACTAAGCCCATCTTTAAACTTTAGCTTTTAGAGAAGTTAGACCTTCAAGCTTCTTACTAAACTCCATCATCGTCAGAAAGTGTTGATCTGACAATCTCCTTTTGATACAGAGAAAGAATATAAATACAGATGAACTTAATTAAGATCGGCTGCATCCATTCTCTTGTACGAAATCGAGTATATAAATGATTCACTTTGCTGTTTATTTTTTTTTTTAATAATATCTAAATGTGCCGAGGAAGAACAGGGGAAAGACTTTCTTTATAGTTGGTCAGGAGGAGTTTAATCCATCACAAGCTGTTGATGGTGTTGCTGCCAGAGGATGGTAGAAAGGCTTGTGGAGCAGCCCAAGGCCATCTGTCAGGTGCTCGTGCTGACAAGAACAACCATTTAGTGCTTTTCTTGGCAACAGAATTGCCCGAGTACATGAGGGATGTGTCAAGTCAACTTTTAAAGTTCACAGCTTCTCAGTTTAGCCACTTTTAAGTGAGAAATTTTGATGGAAAGCCTCTGGAGCTCCTAATCTAAATAAAACCGTGTTGTGCCGTAAAAACAGTCTAGCTTTGGTTGTGAAAATTACAAATAATAGTCCGTTATGGAATTGAGCATGGGTTACTAAATGGGATCAATGGCTGGCATGGAGAAGCCTTGTTGTAATGACATGCTGAATGGACGAGCTGCAAAGGGTAGAAAGGACAGAGCCCACTTTGAAGGGATCAGATACGTTTATGATGCCAAGTCAATTTTTTGGTTGACATAACTGATGGTAACATAGTTACTTAATTGTGCCTGGAAAATACATACTGCCACTTCTTTAGCAACAGCAGAGCAGCGGATTTCAGAGAGTGTAGTAGCTTTCAACGCAGCTGTGCAGGGTCTGATTCAAGACCCTCTTATCTTTGCCCATTTCCTGTCTGATTATTACAAATAAAGACCACTAATGCCACAAAACTCTTAAAGAGGTTATTAAGATATTAATGAGTGATATGTGTGAGTAGACAGCAGAAGTAAATCAAATATCCTCTTCCACACATTGTTGCTCTAGCACAATAAGAGCAAGGCGCCGGAATCAACTCATATCTAGTTTTTATAAATCCAAACAGGGTTGGATTGCAGATTCTACTGTACATGTAGGGCGTGTGTGTAGTGAAGCAAAAATAGCATCGTTTTATGTAATAAGTGTGCTAAACTCTAAATGTGATCACTGTAAACTCTTCCTGCTGGTGATTCAGAAAAAAAACAAACAAAAAAAAAAAAAACAGAAGTGCCTGCACAATACAAGAAGTTCCGCCATTCGCTTAATACCAGGAAGCAGCTCAGCATAATTATTCTGCCCTAACCTTGTTTATTTTCCTTTATGACTGTGGGCAGCCAGGAGATCTGCTTTTATTGAGGTGTCCTTTCTTTTTCTTTTTTTTTTTTTTGTGACGATCCAGAGTACTGAGCCACAGAGTCTTCATTCCTGCTTACGCTGGCACCACAAGCCATAAACAGACTGCAGCCTGACAGGAGCTTTGTCTGATAAAATAACAATGTGAGGAAGTAAAATAATAATCGGAGTGAGAGGTTATGCACAGTGCCAAGGAGGCCGTACTTGAACTCCAGCCAAAACCCGACAGTCGGATAGATCTCTGTTGAATTAAACCACAGCGGCAGAGAACACGAGCTACTAACTGCAGTATTAGATTTAGTGGCATGCTCCTGTTCAATGTCCCATTATTTACATTTTAGGAACAGCCAATTTTGATTTACCAGTTTGAGACTGGGACTGTATTTCACGACTATTTTGAATTTTCACAGTAAAGAAAAAAAGAGTTTAAAGTTGTCTTGAAAGAAAAAAACAAAACATAATCACTTATGTTAAAATGTTGACAGAATAGGTTTGTATATCTGTGATTTTGACAAGTTATAGAGATGAGAAAGTTTTCCAATATTTTGAAGAAGAAAAGCGGAGCAAATAAAAATAATAATAAGGGCAGGGTCTTATGTTTGACTCAGGTCTTCATTTTATGAAGATATTCCGACACAGTTGCAGTAAGATGTTATATCTGGGATTTTCCACTATGCAGGTGCATCTCAGTACATTAGTACTGCCTTTAAAATGTTCCTTTATTTTTTGCAATTCAAATACTGAAACAAATTCATAATATAAAACTGATGCAAAAAGTGAAATGTTTTTTTTTTCTGTTAATTGCAATAGAATAACACAAGACAAATTAATACAGAAAATTCAGCATATTGAAACATCCAACTTTGCTTCACAATCTTGATACATTTATCTATCTATAAATATAGCTTTGCATGTTGATGCAAGAGAGAGAAAAAAATGTAGAATTGTGTGAGACTGTGTAGAGTCTTGCAAAAAAGGGACATAAACAACGTGGGTTTTTTGGGGTTATAGTCCTATAGCAGCTGTTTGGAAGGACCTATGATAATGCTACTTGCAGCAGCTGGTCACTAAAAGACTAGTTCTGCAACAATGTCATGAATAGGGTGGGAGACATGGTTACTTTTGTGAAAATGTCTTCTGTCTCCCACCTGTGACTGGGAGATCAATGGATCAACGCGGATCAGTGGGGGCATCATAGGACAGAGCTGGCTTTCCCGGTGAGCTGTTCCAACTGATTCTGGCTAAACTCTTACACAAAATGCACCAGTTGGTTATTATATATTTTGGTATCAATTAATGTATCAAAATAACATATAATACATGTTAAAAAAAAACAACAACAACAACAACAAAAAACATTATGACTTCAACAAGTATAATTTCAGCAGCAGCAGAATTAATTCTAGGCTTTTAAATAAAAGGCTATCATGCTATAAGAACCTGATAGGCTGTCACAGTTGCTATGGTGACGGTGGTCTCTCCTCACCGAAAATGCTTGCGGTGAGGAGTTTGGAGTCGCAGGATGGGTCGAGAGATGTTCAATTTTAGTATATGAGCCCTGAATGTATAAAACAGACGTAATAACACAATCAATTTGTACTTTAGTCATGAAAGTAAAGTAAAGGAGATGTAGCTGTAAATGCATTATTCTGAGGACAGTGACTAGCAAGCGACTCTTTGTCTATTTTTAGTACGTTTTCTCTCAACATATCTGAAAATGCCACACAATGTGGGAACTTTCCTTGTTTCCAAATGGAAACAACTTCCACAGTTTGGAAGTCGTTTCCAAACTGTTCTTGTTTCTCACATTTCCTGTAGCAAAAAAGATGCACTTCATACATTTTGTTTGTTGCTAATAAGTAGCGCATCATTAATAATAAACAAGGACATGACTCAAAAGGCATTTTGTGTCAAAAAAAAAGTGATTATAATTTAATATAAAATTCACTTGAAAGGCAGAATCTAATGTATCAGATTCATACTTTAAATATTTTAGGTTTTGGCTCTAAAATATGTTATTTAGCCTTTAACTGCTTGACTGAACGCCTAGAAAATGTTGACATTGCGTGCATTCCTTTTGAGATTTCTTCAAATAAAATTGCATAGTTTTACACATGCTTTAAGAAAAATTATTAGGGTTGTTTCTGCACTGAAAATAATTTTAGACAGCGTACG